GTACATGCAATGTACATAAAGCAACACCCCACAGTGAATGTTATCATTATGCACTGCAAATATATGCTAATAAAATTTTTTGAAAAGAAAAAATCTCCCACATTCTCATTCCCTGCATGACCAAATCCAAGCGTCCCTCTCTAGAAATCAAAATTAAGACCAAAAACTACACATCTGTCTGGTGATAATACCGCCAAGTCATTGTTCACATATGGGCCCATCACATGCTACTAGCAGGTAGGCACTGTCCTCATCCTGTATCTAAGGCCCCGAGACATGTAAGTGCTTAGGAAATGTTTCATGAATGGACAAATGGTTGACAACATGCTGAACTAGAAACAGAAAATTTCTCAAGAGACAAATCAAGCAACACCTCTGAAACTAGAATTTGACCTGTCATGGCTTGTGTCTAGCTATCCCCCGCAAAGCCTCATGTGGTCATAGGTGAGGATTTTTAGAGGTGATTGGATCTAAAGTGTATGATGTTGGGATTAAGAGTGTGTGATTACTAAATTAGTTCACTGATTGGTTTGCCATGGTTCTGGGCATGGATAATCAGAAGACCCACGTTGAGTGTGAAGGCTACCTGCCCTAAGAATATGTAGCCTGGATAGAATGTAAAGGACAGAGAGCGGGCTGCTGTTTTTGCTTGCTGCTTGCTGCTTGTGCTGCCTCCTGCCTGCCATGAACTCTTTCTTTTCTGTGATGCTCCTCTGCCGTGTCCCCCTATCTTGGAACCAGTTAATTATGGACTGAAACCTCCATAAACTGTGAACCAAAAGAAACCTTTCCTCCTTTAAAAACATTCCAAAGGACTAGTAAGCTTGGTTTATATTTTCTTTACCAGTCACTTTTATTTCACAAGCACAACATTTCCATTAAAATGCTGTTAAGTAAAAACAGGATTTTACCATATTTGTGATGGCTTGGATTTTGATGTGATAATTGCAATTATTTCCAGCAAAGATACCATTTCTCATTGTTTTATTTCCTCTTATATATCAGTTATGTTTTTAGTGTCTTCTTCTAGTTGAATAAAACCACTTCCCCTTAAATTTGTTGTTCAGAGTCCATGGAAATGTTATCTTAGCTATGAGGGTGCTTTTTATCTTGAGGTTACTAATAGGGATTCAGGAAGGATGGAGAATAGTAGCCATCCAATAGATGACTGAAAGGCATGTGAGAGACTGTCATATAGGAGAGAAAACAGATGCATTCTGCACAGCTCTGGGGCAGTAAGGAAGCAGAAGGTGGACTCTGGAGGGAGACATCCCCTGACATGACGTTGGGAAAACCTGTCCTGTCTGAGAGATCCTGAAGGTGCCCCATCACTAGGGCAACCCAAGCTAAGGCCAGCACCCTGGATGATGTGCTGTTTAAATGACCCACTGGTGTTAATGTCACTGTCTGCCTGCGTTTAAATTTCTTCTCTCAACATTGTTATAGATAGCAGTAATGGTCACACATTGTGAATGTACCAAATGCCACTGAGACAATCACTTTAAAATAGTTTCAATGGTAGATTTTATGCTAAACAAATTTTTACACAACAATAACAAAATGATGTCAGTTGGCAGAATGATCTCCAGAGCCGCTGCTGGCTGTAACATTTGATGCTCCGTAGAGCGCACATCATCCAGGGGACTGAACACTAGGCTCTATTTAGTTAAATGACAGGTCATGCTGACACTAACAGCGGAGCAATGATTATTACATTATGGCTCAGCCTCCAAGCAGAGTGTTACAAGTCCGCAGGAAACATGCTCATGAAAACATATAAATGCCCTGGGAAGATCCTTGTGATGTAGTGTAAAGCACAAAAAGGACTTACACTACATGAATTGTTAGCCTAACTATAAATATAGATATCAGAATTAACACTTGAATGGTGGAATTACAGACAATTTTGGTTCTTTTATCTATTTCTCAAAATGCCTACAAAGAGCACCAATTACTCTTACTATCTAAAAAAAAAATAAGTAAAACTCTTTGAAATATGAAAACAAATAGCAGTATTTAGGATTTTGTAATCTGCAGTGTGTTTGTGAATCTTGATGTACCTTGAACTAGGAGGATGGTAAAAAAAAAACAGAAAGAGTGCTGTATTAGAAGAATTTATTTATAATCCCAGTTCAGCCAGAGCAAAGAGGTACTGCATCTTCCTGAGCCTCAGTTTCCCCGCTTGGAACAGGAGTATAATCGAAGTCTCTTTCATGGAGTTGCATGAAGAGCAAATGAGATCACAAATGTGGGACAGGTCTGTTGATTGAGTTGGTTCTCAGAGCTATTATCATTGTCTCTTGGAGTGTTCAGACTATACATTTCCAAGTCTTCCCTTCAACAAAACTTCCTGAGTGCTTCTCATGTCAGTAACTGCCACTTATCCAGTAATTTAAGAGCTAATTTCTGCTAAGAGTGTCACTTTTTTCCTCATTTTTCTTCCTACAACCTTAGTGGGAAAACACTTCATTTCATCTGAAAAGTAACCACCTGACTTTTATTTACTGGCTGAAGTTCAAGGTGAGGATGACAAAACCATTCTTGCTGGGGGAAAATTGCACGGCCCTGGGAACATCTGCCTCCTCCAAGGAACGAGGGCTTTCCTTTATCAGAGAGAGCATTTGTTTCCCCTAGACCCTCCTGACTGTGACCTTTAAAAGAGATTTTCCCTCATGCTGCTCTCGTCTGTCCTCTGCTTGTCCTTGTTTTGAGGCTAGTGTTAAGATCTACTTTGAAGGAACTGAGAACAGGACTTCCGGGGCTTGCTAGTCACATAAGGAAGCTCTGTGTCCCAGAGGCTGGCTCCTAGGACTGGCAAGAGGAGAGGACCATTTGGGCAGAGCTTTCAAGCAAGATGTTTCTCTATGGAACTTGTTTGCCATTTAAAAGGGCTTGTGGGGCACCAAGCATCACAATACTAGTATTTCCTTTGGGACTCACATTGCTATTAAAAATGAAATTTCCCAATTCAAAAATTCAGTGAAGTAGTCCCTAGGACCTACTATGTGCCAAGTCTGATAGATACAAGAATTGAATAAGATATGGTCTGTGCCTCAAATGAGCTCACAACATAGTACGAGAGGCTGGCACAGAAACCAGTGCAGCATGGATGTGACAAGTGGGATGGCACACGAGTTCTAAGGCCATTAGTGTGGTCAGGGAGACACATCAGAAGGTTTTGAAGGTGCAAGAAAAGTGTGCCAGGTAGCTAGGGCCAGGGGAAGCAGGTACAAAGTCACCGACATAGCCCAACCTGGAGATAGAAGGCATGCTGGCTTGGACATCAGGCAAGGGCACGAGGCCATTGCATAAAGAGAAGAAGAGTAGAAAACGGCAGTGATGATGAGCTCAGTACCATGAGGCACTGCTCTAATTTTCCTGGATCAACTCATCAACCAGGCAGTATTCATTGGCCATGTCTAACATGCTCAGTGTCCTATCTTAAGAGTGGACACAACAGGTGAGAGGTCTCCCTTGTCCCAGCTGTGGGCAGACCAGGAGCAGGAAAGGAAACCAAGTAGCAAATACAGAAAGAAACACTGGGTGCAAAAGGGGGTAGTGGCCCCTGGTCTGTAATTCCAGACCAGTGGGTAGAAGGTGAGAGGAGCGGAGTTCAGGGCCTGGCAGCAGTGGTATGCCTTCCTAGGCAGGACCTGAAAATGAAAATGCCTGGGAAGAAACCAGGAAGGGCCTTGAATGCTAGAATGAGGACTGCAGACTTGGGAGTCCTAGATTGTTAACTAATAAGTGGTCCAACCAAGTGTGCTTTCAAAGAGGCTGACTCAGGTGCCAGCCTGGTGAATGAATTAAGGATGGTATAGTGGATAAGTTTGTGTCAACTTGACTGACTTGGGTCCTGCCTAGGAGATTAGTGAAGCACACTACTGGGAGTATCAGGGTGGGACATGGAGGTGTAACTTTGGGTCCTAAACATGGTCCCTGGCCCCCTCCTCTCTGGCACTGTTCCCCTGATCTGCTTCCTGATTGCTGTGAACTAGGCAGGTTTGCTCCACCACACCCTTCTGCCATGAGGCGTCTGCCTTGGAACCAGCAGACCATGGACTGAATCCTTTGAAACCACAAGCCAAATTAAACCACTCCTCCTTGAAGTTTCAAATGTTAGGTGTTCTGTTCAGCAACAAGAAAGCTGGAGGCAGGAGGACCTGGTCTGAAGCCTAAGTGGGCACTGACAAAGCCCAGGTGGGGCCAGAGTAGGTGTGGCTTTAAAGACTAAGGAGGTGGGACTGGCTGTGGAAACAGAGGAAGAAGAATGGTTGACACTAACTCTGGATTTTCCTGCTTGGGTAACTGACAGATGGTAATGAAACTTAGGAGACAGCAGCCCCAGATGTAGAGTGAGTGGAAATGACATGTGGGTGTAAAGGTGAGAAAGGCCTTCAAAGCTAGAAGTAGATCTCTGAGAGTTATTTGCTGCTAATTTTCTTAACTATCAGAATAATTTTAGAATAAAATATCCGGACTAGGGAATCACACTATGATCGTTTTTTGTAGGAGTTCCAAATAGGAAAAGAGTTAAGCCAGAAAATGTAATTGTTCCTATTCCTAGAATTGGGTAACTGATGCATCTTTGCAAATTGTTCATTGAACTGTGCCTCTGGCTTCTTGCCAGCCCCCAATGAGATTCTTATATTTCTTAATTATTCAATTACTACTCATAAGTAAGAGTTTGAAATCAAACCCAGACTGCTCCACAATAGACTATTCTTTTGGATCATGACTACAGAAAAGGAAGTTTTCCGTATTGGGAAACCAGGCTGGTAGAATGGAGGAAGCAAAAGTTTCCAGTCATGGCCCTGCCCTTGGTTGCAGTCCTGGGTTTGCCACGTACTAGCTGTGTGAGCCTGTATGGTCATTCCTCAGAAGCTGAAGTCTGTAAAATAAAAATAATGATAATGCCCACCTGCTGAGCTTGCTGCAATCTCAGGGGAAGGAGAAGATGCCAAGGGAACGCTACATCACGGCTTCCTTGTGTCCTTTAGGTCTCAGCAGCTTGAGAAAGCATCAGCCGGGAAGGAAGACCCTCTGGACAGTGAGCAGGCTGCCGCCCCTGACACCAACCCCGAAGCCCACCTGCCCTCCATTTGCCTCAAGCAGGTGTTCCCCAAGTATGCAAAACAGTTCAACTACCTGCGCCTGGTGGACAGGATGGCAAATTTGTTTATCCGGTTCCTGGGAATCAAGGGGACGATGAAGTTGGGACCAACCGGCTTTCGTACCTTCATAAGGTCAGTGGGACCTTATGGCTTGGGCTTTGATCAGGATGGAGTCCAGTCCCAAAACTACCTGGTCAGATCTCCCTGACTGCTCTTGGGCAACTCTATGATGCTGGATTGGTACCCCATCTGAGGTTGGGCTGGCCTTATGGCAGGCACCAGCTCTGGCATGTAGATGATTCTTGTTTGCTACATGAATCAATGAATGTTATGATTGTGAAAGCAGTCACAGCCTTAGGTTCATGGTCAAAAAACAATTCTACACTACTGCATTAGTCTGTTTTTCATTTCTTTAACAAAATACTTGAAGTTGGATAACATTATAGAGAAAAAAGGTTTAGCTCACAGTTTTAGAAGCTAAAAGTTCAAGGTCAGGAATTCACCACACTGGTTTGGCATCTGATGAGGTACTTGTGGCAGATAGTGTCATGGTGGGAACACATGCAGGAGAGAGAAGTCACATCCAGACAGGGAGCTAGAAAGCAGCTCACAGGCGGGCTCATTCTTATAACAACTTGCTCTCCTAAGAATTAACTCAGGGTCCCACAGGAACTGCTTTAATCCCTTCCAAGGGTCCAACCCCAGTGACCTAGGTACCTCCCACTAAGGCGTCACCTTTTAAAGGTTTCATTTCTTACCAAAACCACACTGAGGACCTTGCCTCCAGCACAGGAATCCTTGGGGGACACACTCACACTGGAGCAGCATCTTGAGCTAGGTCCTTAAAAGTTCATTAATAATTGCCCCTAGGAGTCAGATGGACCTTGTGCTCCTTCACCTGGGGGTCTCACAGTGGTACGCAGCTGCGTTCTGACTGTTTATGAAGCCACCACAGAGCAACAAAGCACATCTTTTCAAAGTGTCAGTTTTGGGAAGGAAAAGTTAAATAATTCAACTGGTAAATAATTTAGTGTGTTTATTCTAATATAAAAATAACATGGTTATATTAGAGAGACTAATACAAAATTTGCATGAATTTTAAAGATAAAACATGAGACAGCAGAGAGGTAGAAGGTTCACTACAGCCTGCAAAATAAGCAGCTTCCTAAATTAATCATTAATTTGCTTCTGCCCTGTGGGCAAGATCACGATCACCCCCGAACCTCAGTGACTTTCTCCTGTTAACCAGGCTGGAGCTACCTGTGGCCTAGGATTGTGTGTGTGAGTGAGGTTAGTTAAGCCTGGATAAGAACATCTAGCGTGAAGTAAGTGATCAGTTAATGTTAGTTTCTTCCTCCCATACTCAAAGAATATATATTTATATGAAACTTACATGCAAAAGCTCCTGCACAGGGTGTGGAACAAGGTAGGTTCCCATTAAAAAATGTGTCAAACAAAGGACTCTAGAGTCCTCCAGCAGATATGAATGGGAACAACAGAGAATGACCCCTTAGCAGTTAACTGTAGCATGGACACCTCAAAAAAGTCTCTGCCGACCCTCAATGCCGCTGTTTTCCCTCATTGTTGGTTTGAATATTTCGACTCTGTGCCTCAAAATCATACTCTTCACAGTTTTATTCATTAAAGGAAATACTTAGAAATCTTGATTTGAAAACCATGCTCGGCAAAGACTTTTCTTCAAATAAAGTGCATCAGTTCTAACGCTACCTATCGGATAGTCTTTTTTTCAATTTTTGTAATTAGTACCTGTTTGCAGTGCACACCTTGTGTGGAGCTGGGTTGTGTACACAGTGCATCTCAAATTGTTTCATCCCCTTTCCCTTCCTTTCCCCCTCACTCACCCTCTTGATCCCCACCCCATTTGAAGATCAATCTCCCTGTTTTCTATTATCTATCTCTTAGTTTGCTCTTTATTTATAGTTTGGGTTTCTCAAATAAGAGAGACCATGTGATAGTTAAGCTTGTGTGTCTGATTGATTTCACTTACACTGTGGTCAGGGTGCATCCATTTTCCTACAAAGGCTCAAGCTTATCCTTCTTTACAGCAGAGTGGCGCTCTGTTGTGTATAAATACCACATAGGGTGGTAAACAAAAGTACTGGCAGGAATTTCTGACAGTTGAGCAAAGCTTAAGGTGTGTGCGAGGTGATGCTGGGAAGAGCTTTGCCTTAGTTTCAGGGTGAGAGACTTGGGGGAAGGGAAGCCAAGGAGCACAGGTTTGGGACTGGATCAGGTCTGGCTTCAGGATCAGGCATATTACTTAATATCTGTGTGGCTTTGGGCAAATCCTTTATCTACTCTGAGTCTCATTCTTTCATCTGCAAAATGTGGACGATCATTCCTGCCTTGCACAGCCACTGTGAGTTGAGATATAACATATCATAAAGCACCTGGCCCAGTGCCTAGTTCATAGGAGTCACGTGATTACTCTCTCCATCAGGCAGTGGAACTTTTCAAGGAAAGTCAGCAGGGACACATTATTTGCCCTTATAGGCTCTGACTTACGTAGGAACTGCATTTGACTTCCGCGAATAAGAGTCTTATGTAGAAATGGCTTGAATAGTGAGTATTCTTTTATATAACAAGGAAGTTGGTAATGGATTTTAGAGTTGGCTAAGACTCCAAAATACAATCAATGTCCCACTTTTTTGCCTTTCTGCTGATCCATTTTAGCATGTGCTTCCAGTTTCAGAGTTATGTCACAGGACGGCCATCATGGTTGAACGCCAGGTAGGAAAAAGGCAAGAAGACCAAAGGTCTCTAACAGAGAAATTAGATCCCCTTAAAAGCTTTTCTGAAAGCTGTATCCACTTCCATCTTATTGTCCAGTAACATGGGAAGTTGGGAAATAGACATTTTTCTGTGCATCTGTGGCTTCATTATAGAGAAAAAGAAGAGAAAGAGAACAGTTAGGTAGGCAGTCTTGGCTCCTTTGTGATTCTTGAGCCTTGGAATGTAAGGAAACAACCAGTGATGCTAGACGCAGCTCACGAGGGTACTCGAGACACAATGGAGGCACACAGGGAGCCAGGGGAGCGGTGCGATTGAGGGAAGAGGGGACTTCGGCATGACATGTCCATGGGCCCAGACCTCCTGGAGCAAGCCAGGGACTTTCTGGGCAGCTCTCTGCACTACTCCACAGGAGTCTCAGTTCAGGACAGTAGCGAAGAGACAGCTGGGCTTCGTGTGGCCATCTTAGGAACTACAAGGCACGCTGACCCTATGAGACCTGCCAGGCCTCTGTCTCTTCCTGAGCTCCTGACCGTGTGAACTAACACAGGGATCTCACAGGCTGTGGGGCATGGAGCCCTATCCTGTCTATGGGAAGGGCTGCTGCCTGATTGGGATTATTCAAAAGAAGCCAGACTCACTGATTTTTATGTAAAATCTGGGCACGCACAAATAAAATTTAAGGCTGGCAATCTGATGATTATTTTAACCACTCTGTAGGTTCTACCACAGCGCTGCTTGCCTGGAGAGGCCATGGTGGGAGTTCTGTTGTTGGCGCCCATTCAGAGGACTGTGACATTTATCCACCACCTAGAAGAGAAAACAGAATTGAGATTGGGCCTACCAAGAAAATTCCTTAAAAAACTGTTCACAGACTAGAACAGGGTGATGTCAAAAATATTGCTACCAACATGTCTCCGTGTGATAGGCTTTCTGGTTTTCCATCCCTTTGTTCTCTGTAACAAAGGGTATTTGCATGAGAAACCAATCTTTGAGAGGCTAGAGACTATTAGGTCTCTGCAGCCATGTTCCCAGGCTGTGGCTGAGGCTATCAGTGGAGCTATAGTGACCTTGACGCTGGGGGAGGGACATCTTCATGTGGGAACAGCCCACCTGAGATAACAAGCCTCCCTGCCCATGCCACAAATGTCTGTCATCATTAACAATGCAAGAAGAACTGGGCAAAATATCACACAATCACTAATAGACTTTTCCTTTTAAAATGTGCCAAGAAATCCCAACAGCAGCTTAATGGGAAAAGATGGTATTCTCTGCTTTCAGATTTATCTGGATAGGTTCGGTCTTGCTAGTTAAATTTCACAGCAAGCAGTTTCTCTTGCTAACAACTTTCTCTCTGTGTCTCTCCTTTCCACTTTGGTTTAAATTTTGCCTCATTATGAATTAATAATATTTATGCCATATGTTAAATTGAACCGAGTGCCCTTCTCAGGAGCACTTTGAAAAAGGCATACTCATTGGTGAGGTACACACACTTTTCCCACGCACAGAGCAGAAGGTGAACTTGGCTTCTGTGTCTACTACCCACCTTCTGTCCAAGTTTCTTGAAGAGAATGAGAGAGAAAAAAAAATAATAACAGCCCAAATGAATTTGTTTGCAGGGTCTATCTCTCATAATGTGTTGCACAGATCAGCAGTTTTCAGAGTGAATTATGCTAATGTCAGGCTGGCCATGTTCTATTCTTCTTTTTTCACCAAGAAATGAGAAATAATGAACTGTCGTTCTCTTGTCTAGACCTAAGTCTATCGAACCAGCTTTTCGTGTCATTTCCGCAGGAGGAGGCACGTAACTGCGGTACATGTCACCAGGAATTAGGCACTTCTTTTTTCTTTCTTTTTAAATATTTGTTTTATAATAATTGCTGGGGTGTGGATGCTTCTCTCTCTCTGGGAAAGAGAAATTATCTAATTGATTCTTCGGCTTGACAGCTTTCTTCGGGGGGGAAATGCGTCTTTGTTATTCTGGTTCGATCGGATTACTAATTTGGGAGAGCACCCGATGTAATTCATGCAGGATGATTTTGCCGAATGTATCTCATCCCATCGTGGAAATTGACCTCAATTTGCATTTGCTGCGTTTTCCTTGAAGGCAGCCTGAGAATTCAACAGTTGACCCAAAGCAGGTTTATTTCTAGAAGACGTAGGGGACCCTGCACCGTGAGCCTTCCCTTCACTCGGGGCTGTTCCACTTTGAAATCCCTGCCCGAGCCCTTGTGGCTTCTGATCCTGGGTCTCCCTTTGAATTAGAGAACTTTTTTCTCCTCTTTCCCTTTTCTCTTTTCACTCCCTTTTATCATAAGGAGATATTAATATGCTTCATAATGGGGAGCTGTAGGGGGTTTTATTCTCTGAGAGGCAGCGTGGTAGGTTAGCGCATTCTAGAATTGAAGTGTAAGGGGCCTTGCTGCCCGCTTTGCCATTAACTCCTCAGTGACTTTGAAAATCCCATGCTTTGCTGATCCCTTTCCAGCAGTCCTGAGATTCTACGCCTGGGCTATCCACCATGACTTTTTAAAATGCATGTTTTAAACCAGCCTTGTCTTATTCCCCCTCTCTTCAGGTGTGTGGAAATGTGCTTTTGTCTTTTTCTAAATAAATATTGATCATTTGTTAGCTTTTATATTTCAGGAGCCTCTCCAGGAAAAATAAAAATAAGCTTCTTGCTTATACAGAGAAAGGGTGAACATGAAAGAAATTCTATAAATAGGATTTTATGGAGTGGGAAAGTTGGTTCTTAAATTTCCCATGAGATGTCAGCAGTTAAGAGGAAATGGGAATGATCATTTCAAATCTTTCTATACTTGGGCTCCTAATGAACTTGAATGATTTGTGATTCTCTCCCATCATAATGCACAAATTCCTCTGATTCTAAAAAACAAAAAACAAGGCAACTAACAGAAGTAATTTCTTCAAACTGGCTCTACATCATAGAGGAAGGATGTGAATTGTCAGGCTCCATTTTCCATGTGTACCAGGCACTGAGTAGGTCCTTGTGAGGGCCTGGGAAGGGGAGCAGCCTTATTCTCAGCATACAAATGAGAGCTTCTGAGATTTGCTCAAGGTCACACAGCAAATCCAAGATTCAGTGAACCCATGTACCCTTGACTCCAAAGGTGATGTTTTCTAATTTCATTTCTAGCAAATCTTTCCCTAGGAATCTTTCTGGCTTCTCGTGTTACTATATTTCTTGAACTTCTATTCTGTTGAAGAATTTATTCTTCCACTCATGAGTCACTGGAAGACTTGCACCCCAGGCATAAGGGAAAACTGTTACCAATGATCAGGAGCTACCCTTTCACACAGAATACCACCCACACACAGTGGGCAAAAAATAAATTCTATACTGAGTGGATTAGATGGATGAAAAAAATCATTCCAGAGTTTTGACGTCTTGACCTTAGCTTTCTTCATTCCTTGTCTGAGTCCACTGAGAACATTTGGTGACCAGAGGGACAAATTTAAGAAAATATGTCACCTGGGAGCCTGGTTTTCTTCCCCTAGTCTTCTGTCCTGATGCTTCCCAACAGAAGAACTCCTATGGCTCCAGCCCTACTGGTCCCTAGTGTGAGACTCAACTCCTGGGTTCCTCCTGTGGCTCTGGGCTGAGCCTCTCCCCGTGGGTCCCACTCCATCCTCAGGAGAAACCATGCAGATGGACCGCAGCTGCATAATCCAGTGAAAGTCCTGTCCCTTCTCCTATACCTCAGCTTACCCTCCACTGAAATGGGATTAGGAAGAAGCTCCTTCTTGTAGAGTTGTCATAGAGATTCCTAGCGCTCAGGAGCAAGAATGTGCCTGGCATACAGATGGTGCCCAAGAAATGCCTACAGAATCACAATTCCTTTAAAGCATCTCCTGTCTCCTGCAGCCAGCATGGATCCCTCCTTTCTCTGCCCTGGCAGCAGATGTTGCAATCAGCTATATCGGCAGCATTGCCAGGGAGGATGAGTTACCTTGGAAAGGGATAAATGGAGAATTCTCCTTGGTAAATTACAGCTCCTGCTAAAGGTCTGACACTTCTATTTTCTTCCTGTCAGAAAAAAAATAACTATATACCAGTGGTCAGTTTGGTTTCCTTTTTTTATACTCCATTAACCTGCGGAGCAAGCCAGGCAGCACTTGGTCCTGTGGGGAAGCAGGTAGTCTGCAGGACACCGATATGGTAATTAGAGCAAGACTGTGGCCTTTTCTAATGAAGCTTTGGAAATTAGCAGTACAGGATGTTAGGATACGTCTGGAGAGACCAGAGCCTTGTCCCCGGCAGAAGCCAATAGAGATAGCCATCTCGGTGACAGGTGACGTGAAAAGCTTGGCGTCTACTGACATGTTGTTGCTGGTGCTCAATAACTGTGCACTGATGTGCTTTGAAGTCTGCCACGGTGACTTGTGATTGAAATACGGAGCAGGAGCCCCAGGGGAAGCAGGATGTGAATTGATGGCCTGGGAAATGCGGATAAGAAGGAAGAAAGGAAGGGAGGGAGGGAGACAGCAAGTATACCAGGACATGGGGCGTCCCAGCCTGTCCAGGCGTTAGGGTCTGCATAGGCCTGGGGACGGGTTTCTGGATGCCCTATCCTGCTGCCAATCAAGGCCCCACCTGTCCTCTTCCTAAGGGAACTGTCCACATAAGGGATAATGACAAACGCGAAATCAAAGAACCACTTTATCATTAGCCGGCACAATGGATGTGGATACATTTGAAAAGTTGAAGGCAGCGCTGAAAGTAGTTCAGCCAGCGTGACATCTAGCCCGAGTCTAGCTTCTAGGACTCCCGGGGAAGCTAGCCTGCGTGGGGACTCATCTCCTAGCATGAGCTTGTCCAGCAGGATGGCACAGTGGCAAGCCAAGGGCCACCTTCAATCTGCACAGACAGCCAAAGCCCTGTGACCCAGACTCTCCGGCCGAGAGCTCCCCCACTCCAGTGGGCAGGGTCACTCACTGACAGGCTGGGCTCAGGCAGCCTGCAGGGCCCACGGAGTTCTGGCTCGGGGAGAGGGAGAGGGAAAGGGAAAGAGAGATCAGAAAAAGAACTAACAATTGTCACAGGCTTTTTCAGTAAGCCAGAGTGTCCTGTCCCCGCTTCCATCCCCAGTAGGGAGATAGGATTCTAAACACGCCTTCCGTGGCTTAGATAGGGACTCCAGTTGCTGACCTCAGGCTGAAAACCTGGTGATCTTGGCCTCCTTGCATCTAAACAAGAGCATTTGGAGCTCAGAGGTGCCGCCCTCCTCCTGACGTTTCTTTCTCGGTGACTCCCCTAAAGCCAGCACCAACCTCGAGGGACCTCCCGGCCGTGCTCACACTGGCTCAGCCCACCCAAGGCATGGCCCAGCTGTGCTGTTCTGCTCTGTAAATCTGGGGCTTAGTGTGACTGATTTGGGACTTACGTAAAATCTTCAGGGGACAGATGAAGGCCAGCGAAGTACAGAAACACTGAGCCTCTGTCTGTAGGTGTGGCCTCGGGGATTCATCTAGTAAGCACCCAGCAGGGAACTGCTTCTGGACAGGAGCGATGGCTTCAGCCTGTGCCGGTGATGGCTGTCGTCACTGCGTCTTCTGAGCGTGACACCCGCCGCTGCCTGGACGCTGGCGGGAGGGAGTAGTGTGTACCCAGGGACTACTCAATAGGAAGTGGCGATACATGCGTCGGGGCTGTTTTTTGAAATGTGGAGCTCCCTGGTGGTGGGTACGTGGCTGTATAAGGTCAGGCTGGCGCTGTGACTGCCTATACATTGCCTAGGTGGTGGGGGCAGGCCGTGAAATCTCTAGCTAGCGGCTTCACTGCTCAGGGGCAGAGCCAGAGTTCAACCCCAGACCTGCATCCTGGCCGCTGTGTTCTTCCCAGCCCATTAGCCCTGAACTAACCCCACGGCTGCACCTACAGGAAGCATCATCCCCTAACCCCAGCTCACATTTTCTCCCTTTCTTCCACCCTTCCCGGCCTGACCAAAGATTCCGCCTCAATCAGTCTGAGCAGCTTTCAAACACTAGTACAGACAGGCGACTCACACCGTAAACTTTGATTCTCAGTGAGTGAGAAGTCAAGGTGAAGGTGCTGGCAGATGGGGACTCTGGTGAGGCCTCCTTCTGGCTTGCCATGGCCTCTTTCTCCAGGCATCTGCTCACAGTGGACAGTGCAGAGAGCAAGGAAGCCCTCCATGTCGCTTCCTATAGGGTCACTGATCCTATCCGTGAGGGCTCCACCCTCATGACCTGATCATCCCCACGGTCCCCACTTCCTTATACAGTGCTCCAGGGAACAGGACTCCAGCCTAGGCATCTGGAGGGGGCATACACAGTCTGTGCAGCGCAGGCCCAGAGGAGAGATGCGACAGGGTGGGTTTCAGCCAAGCAGTGACCCGTCTGCCTTCCCGTCTTCGGCAGGAACTGCAAGCTCAGCAGCAGCAGCTTGTCCATGGCAGCCGTGGATATTCTGTACATCGACATCACACGGAGGTGGAACTCCATGACCCTGGACCAGCGGGACTCAGGTACCTGATGACTGGCTCCACCACGTCCTTGTGGAGGCCCCATCTACGAAGCACGGCAAACGAGGGCTGGGGGTGTGGGGTAAGAGAGGGATGTGTCTTTTGTTCCCTCTTCTCAAGGGGGAAGGATGAGGAGAATCCTATCCATCAGAGACATCATTCCAGGAATTTGGCCGAACTCACACACCAGGGCACTGACTGCTAGCAAGGCATCGCCTTTCCCCAGTTCTAAATCCACCATTAGCTGTCCTGGTCTCTGCGTAAGGCATTCACTCCATCTGTATGGGGCTAGCGTACCCTGCCCTGCATTCGTCCGTTCATCCCTCGGCACACACTTGCTGAGCACATGCTGGCTAGGCCGCGGTGCACGGCAGCGAAGAGCGCTCTACAGTGGCAGCAGCTGAAGCTAGGACGCCGGTGCAGGTGGTGTGGGGTGGGATGGAGAGAGAGGGAGGCCGTCAGGGAGCCCTTCACCCAGGGAGGGTCAAGGAAGACATGGAGAAGGGTGTGAGCCTGTGAACAGACCGGAGACAGGCACGTAGGCAGGGGTGTTGCCCGGCTGGGTGTCAACACTTGTGAGAGGCCATTGTGCCCACACTACCCCAGCTAGCTCAACTGGGCTGGAGCAAAAGGGGTGGGTGGAGTTGTGGAAAGCCTTGAATGACACACCAAAGAAGTTAACCTTGACCCAACAGGTTAGTGGTGAAGGATTCTATTAGGAGAATGATCCACCTTTGGGTCAAGGAGTTTCTGATCTCTTTCCTCACAGAGGATGTTTTCTAAAAGGACAAAATAACCCTAACTGGTATTTGTACAATTCATCACAAAACTGCACATTCCTTCCTTAAATATCGCTGAGACCCAGTGCAGAAGGCCCCAGGAGCCTCCTTTCACAGACGAGTAAACTGCAGCTCAGGTGATCAAGGTGCCGCAGTGACTGTGAGCCAGATGCACTGCCCTCCACTCCACTTGGCTGCCTCCCTGCAGAAAGGATGCACTGAGGCAGGGTCCCGGGGAGCAGCTTGTCCAGTGGCCCAGTCAGAAAGATGTGCAGTCAGAGGTGGAGAGATCCAGATCAGAGCTGGCTTGGCCATTTCGTACCAGTCTCGGCTTGAAAGCCATTTCACCTCCTAACCTCGAGTTCTTCATCTATGAAAGGGCACTCACACTGCTTGCTTGCTGGGTGTGAATGAAGATGAAAGGGTCTGGGGTCATTGCTGAGAGCGCCAGGCAGTTTTTGTTTGTTTGTTGTAGAGCTGGGGATCGATCCAACCCAGGGCCTTGGGCACACTAGACAAGTGCTCTGCCACTGAGCCGTCTATTAGCAGGCACTGCTCGGGGACAGTCCTATGAAAAGAGTGTCTGACCACTGGTGCTGCCCTTGCTGCCCCATGTCCATGTGGGCTAGAAACCTCCCAACCACAGGGACACAGCAGAGACCTGGGGGTTCTGGCACTCAGAAATCATTTTCTGTGTGGCTTTGTGTTTGTTACTGCTGTTTGGTAATGGTGCTACTGGCTGCCAGTTGTTGGCTGTTTCTTGCATGCCAGGCACTCTGCCGGGCACTTCACATGTGTGTCACAGGCTAGAATTCTCCTGGAGGTAGATGTGATTGTGTCCATTGTACAGATGAAGAAACTGAGGCTCAGAGGCATGGCCAGTGGATAAAACACAAACACTAACCCACCAGGGCTTCCTTTCTGGGTCACTTCCTCTTATTAATTGGTCATTGAGTAAGATAACCACAGAGTTCCCCACTGTTCTTTTTTTAATTCAACAGCAAAAGTCAGGGAATACCAATAGCCACTGGATCGACAATAACTTGCATTTCTGCAGCTGGCAGCTCTCACACAGCCTCCCCTGGCAAGTAGGAGAGGCGTGAGATGGAGCGCCGGCAGAAGTAGGCAGATTAATTATCATTTCGAGGACCAAGCGCGCTCATGTGACAACTGAGTAGCATCACTTTTTGCTGACGCCTTGAGAAAGTGAAGTGCTTGCTCTGTGAGCTGAATGCAGGGCGACATCACCGGATCCTGTGGAGGGGGCCAGATGAGGGGGTGGGGGTGGCAGTGGAATTATTAAATATTGAAATTGATCAGAAGTAGCAGCAGGAAGCTATTTATCATGTTTTATTGCTTCAAACTAGCATTACCATCTGGCCCATTGTTAATTCTGGGTAGCTTTCCATGTTTTGTTTGTCTCTTAAATTGCTCCCTGTAAGCGGAATCCTCAGTGGCTGTCCCCAACACAGGCTCCCGAGAGGTCCTCAGGGGTCTGCCAGGGTCTCTCCACTCTGCTAACCACACAAAGGAAATGAGAAACATACTTATTTTGAGCATGAACAAATCTGGGGCTAGGAATCCCAGACCTTTTATATCCCTCTGCTCCTGAATGTGTGGAGTTGTACATTAGGACAATGTTTGGATTATCTCCTATGCAATGTATCACTGCCAATTCTCAGATCATGACACCGAAGTGTATAGTAGTACCTCATTTTACAGACAAGGATTCTGAGGTTCCCAGGGCAAAAATGACTTGTCTGCAATCTGATGGCCCAGGAGTAGCAAAGGTGAGAAACAAACTCCAGCCCCCTGCCACCTGGCCCCAGGCGCACAATCTGGGGCCACACCAGCCGCTGCTCGTTCACCTGAGGGATAGTAGTGGGGTCGGATGGTAAGCCAGGGCCCAGAGAGTTCGGAGCAGCAGGGGGCAAGCTGACAGTGGTGGTCTGCACATTTGAAAGAGCAGGCGGAGATTTCACACGTTGAACCGGTGAGTGTTGAAGGTGGTGGATATGCTAATCACCCTGTTTTGAGGATTACACAGTGGATACATGTACTGAAACATCATACTTTATCCCCTAAACATGTACAAATACATATGTCAAGAAAATGACTTTTTAAGTCGCCCTACTCTGTCCAGGGCCCACTGGGAGGACGGAAGTTGAGGTTGGGAGTGTCAATAGTTTCTGTCTCCAAATTCTTTCACTCTTGGAGCTTATGTACCTCAATTTCCATTGCTACTAAAAGCAAATAATAGGATGGAAGGGCTAGGAGGCACTGAGCTTTTTTTTTTTTTTTTTTCCGGTACTAGGAATCGAACTCATGACTTTGCGCTTGCCAGCCAGGCGCTGTGCCGCTGAGCTAAATCCCCAGCCCCAGCACTGGGCATTAAAGCCTCTCTGGTGCCCACAGTCTTGCAGCTCTTGCAGGCTGTTTTCCTTCCTTCTCAAAGCCAGTCCCACACCCCGGACTCTCAGGAGAAATGGGCGTGTGGAGCCAGCCACCTTTCCAGAACCACTCAGGGAACACTTGCAGAACAGAATCCTGTGACTGCGGGGTGGCTGTTGCTTTTGTCCTTCCTTCCTTCCTTCCCTCCTTGGTATGGAGCCAAAGGATTCCCAGGCCAGGGATTCCAGTTAAGTGTTGACCAGCGCTGTGGACACTGCCAAGGTAGATGGCTCTGCCTGTCCCAGAGCTGCTGCGGGTTGGCAAAAAAGAAGTCTGTGGACCTGGGGGTGTGGCTCAGTGGAAGAGCCTGTGCTAAAAATGCAAGAGGTTCTGGCTTTGATCCCCAGCACCAAAAACAAAAGACATTTTTGAAGCATGGTAGAACATGGGTCTCGTTCTCAAAGGGCATGTACTCTTTGATTCATTCAACAAACGGGTAATGAATGTGTCACCCAGCATTGGGCCCTGTGGGAATATAAAGATAAATTACTCACAGATCCTATCCTATCTCTCTTAAGAAGAAATCAGAGCACAGGCCATTTACTGAAAATCTGCTAGGTGATGGAAGTAACAAATGTTTGTGTGTGTTAGCTCATTTAATTCTCATACAGTCTTATAAGGGTTGTTATTCCCATTGGAAAAATAAGAAACCTAAGGCTTATAGGGGTGAAATTAAACAGACACAAAAGCCTTACACCAGGGACCGTGGGATCGGAAGCAAGATCAGCCTGAGCCCCTTTGCTCTTTGCACTGCAGCCACGGTCTCTTGGTCACACAAATGACTCCAGCAGTTATTGGTAATCAGAGTAGGCTATGACCAGAGGTATCACAGAACCGAGGAAGGAGGGCTGCCGAGAGGGTTAGAACAGAGAACACACACACACACACACACACACACACACACACACACACACAGCACTTAGCATGGCAGGCAACCCAGAAAAGGCACTCGTTGTGTGTCTATACCATGCAGGGCTTACTACCTTACCTAGAACACACAAAGGCATCTCCCTCAGAGCCCAGCGAGTGCTCAGGGAGTAAACAAATACCAAAATGAAAACTGCCCGCATCTTCCAAGCAGAAAGTTCAGAGTGTGAGAACCACACCTTACCGTACAGGCATCTTGGACAGGGTCTACCTTCCTACCCCTGAGCGCCCAGGGTAAGACACTAGCCCATTTGGATGGGGTGACTGCCCACTCCCAGAGCCAGCTGTACCAAAGCAGTGCCCACCAGAGAGGTGAATCAGATTCCTGATGCTCGAAACTGTTAGGAACACGAATTACCTGTGTGACGAGAGACCTTGCTGTTGAAATGGAGACGGAAACGATGTTCTAAAAAGATTCGTGAAGAAAAAAATGAAAGCCAATGAGAAAGAGCATACCCATGGTGAAATCTCAACTCCTCCCACCCTTTTAAATAGCCTTGCTCTTTGCTTTGTTTTGCGGTGCTGAGGACTGAGCCCAGGACCTCCTGCACACTAAGCAAGCGCTCTTCCCTTGAGCCGTGTCCCCAGCCCTGTAGCCTTGCTTTTTGATTGTTCATTCGGTTTTCTTGGGACCTCAGGTGCACAGAATCGGGTTAATCACCATCCTTGGTTCACGAGACACTTCCACCATGGTCCACACCCCAGCCTGCTCTTGTGGACCTTAGCTTTTTAAATGTAGCATTTTAAATAATGGAACAAGCACCCCAAAACAAAAGCGAGGGCTCGAAAGTCACTCCGTCTAACATCTGGCTCCTCCACCCAAGAACCCTCATCTGCACCCTCATC